GAGGAAGGATTTACCACCCCTCACCCCTGCCTAAGTTAGCCTGTGCTATTTGATCTGCCTGGCTATTGGCAATCTGTCTAAACCCTTTCCGGTTCCTAATCTATAGGCAAGTCAGAATAAACAATACCTCATAGAAACCACACTCTTCCTCCCATTTGGCCGGAGGACCCCTGAGCAGAATTGATTACTCCAGCCTTCTGGAGGATTGACTGGCAGCTTGCCGTGTCTCGCTCTTTCCTCTCAGATCTGCCCCCTAGATCTGCCAGATAAGCCCATACCCGCTAGAAAGAGCTTACCGTCAAACTCTAGATAATCCTTGAGCCTCGAACTTCAACCTTACCTATATGTCCCGTCTCTTCCTATTCCTCCTTGCACGCCCAAAACCCTTAACCCTAAACCCTCGTCTTGATTTTTTTTTTTTCCCCTTCCTCTGCGGCTACCGGTTTGCCTTGTCTTTGACCGCTCAAGTGGCCTGAATTGTGGTTTTGTGACTTGAGCTCATCCTCTTGTCCGCTTCAGGTGTGTTCTGAGGTCTCCCTCCTGTTTCTGGGTTGTGCCATTCTTTCCAGCATACTCGTCCATTCCGTCACTCTGCCGCTTTGCCGTTCACCAACCCCTGTCCCATAAAACTTCTTCCTGACCTTCTCTTGCTCATCCTCAACCTCGGGCCTCGTCTGCCTTCATCTCCGCCTTCAACCCGGTAGGAATTTCCATCTAAATACGGCTCTAAGGATTTTCCTACCGCCTTACATGGACTGTGATGGATCCTACCCGTTTATAGACTGGGATCTCTGCCTTTTTCCCACTTTTTTGTAAAGCTAACTCGCTTGTACTCATGGTGAACCCCTGTTTTGCCGCTTTCCTTAACCTCTAAACCCTATTTCCGGATTCCCGCGAGACCAGGTCTCTGTTGTCTCGAAACTGTCGTACTGAATGATCGCTCAGGCGATAATAATGTCCCCTGTATTATTTTGTGATTGTGCCATTTCCAGCGAGGCAAGAGCTGTGGTCCTGTCTCCCCCTTGCTGCACTTCCCTTCTCTTCCATAACAAACGCGGGGGATCACCTTCTACTGTGCCTAATTTACCCTTTCCAAGCTTGTCTTTGATAAAATTATCTATAATTGTTTGCTTTTTCGTGGGATCGTCCTTGATCTTCTTGCTTGCTCGGAACCACTCTGCCTGGTATTCCGTGTGTAGAAGTTGAAGAACATTCTCCCAGGCTTCCCGAGTCGACGTGCTTTGGTGAGCTATCGTTTGTTTACAACGAGTCTTCCATATAATCCATAGTGTAGACGGACGAAGTCTTCTGAATAGAATTGAATGCCATACTTCTTTGAATCCTGGTTGCGCCAACCCCATCAGCAGTGTCAGCATGTTGTCTGGTAGTGAACTGCCAACTAGCTCCAACCAGTACTCCTGAGCTCTGTTCCACATTCTTTGTGCGTTTGAACAGTTTATGAGGCAGTGTAACATGTCCTCGAGAGATCCCTCCTCGCAGACTGCGCAGCTGTCGTCGAAGTCCCTTCTGTTATTTCCCGACCTTCTCCTGCTGAGCCATGAGTTGACAGGCAAAGCCTGATAGTATATAAGCCATTGCATACTTCTTATGCGAGTATTTCTGATGGCGAGGAGGATCTGCCAGTCCAGCTTCTCCGTGTTAGCGAGGCAGCCTGGAATGTGCTTCTCCCAGCGCTGGGAGAAAATGAGGTCTGTGTTCACCGGATTACATCTAAGTTTGTAACCGAAACTGGTTGTATAGTCAAGGATATTGGTCCGCTTCTACACCCCCGTTGGCATTGTTCTTGTCTTCCATGCCCACTCTGCTGGATCAAACTCCAAGTCTTGTAAAGTTGTTTCAGGCTGAAAGGCTCTGTAGTCATCGTCCTCTACCACTCTGATTTTCCTGAGTAAGAATGGTTTCGCTGTAACTCGGGCCCGAACTGTTTTGGAGACCCTGCTGATGTTGTTTCCTGGCTGTTCCATGTCTTTTATGGTCCATAGTCCCCAGTTCCCTGCCGGTCCTGTTGACCTAACGTACGACAGTACTTCTGTGGGTGTGTTTTGTGACTTCCACGTTGCCCATTCCCCTGAAGTCCAGGTGGGGGGGGTTTGTAGGAGCGCCACCCAGTCCTGCGGAATAGATTGTAACATCGCCTGTCGGTTGTCCTCCAAGTTGTGGCAACCTTTGAGAGTTGTTCTGAGTTCTGTTGTTGTCTTCCAACGGTTGCATTGCTGGTTCCATATGTGTTCTATCTTCCACACTCCCTTCTCAAGCCATGTAATCCAGCGAGTATCCTGTGGCATCAAAGTCCATGGTTTATCGGAAGGGTCTTTCAGCCATTGGTTGCAGAAGAAGTGCTGTCGTAGTACTTCCTCTCTGTTTGTTGGGCTTCTAACCTTGGCCGGGAAGATCTCTCTCCAGATCCTGATGAGGTACATCCAATACTCCAAACGGGTCGGCAACTGCTCCTGTCAATGCTGATTAGTGTGTTGAATATTGATGCGAGTTGCCCAAGACTTCGACATTACCCAAAATAGACCTTGCATGTGGGATGGAGAAGTCGCTTTAGGCAGCTGTCTGATCCTGTACAAGGCCAGTGAAATCCAGGGGAGTCTATGTAATAGTAATAGCTTCACTATCCACTTTGTTTGAAGCGCCTTGGTTTGAGTAGTTGGATCAAGGACTGCCAGCCCACCTTTACCCTTAGGTTGGGTGATGTGCGCCCAAGCCACCTTTGGTATAAAATGTTGAGTCGCAGGGTTTCCCGTCCATAGGTACGCAGTCGCTCGCCGTTTGAGTGTTGTGAACATGTTACCTACTGGTGTCCATATAGTGGCCGCATACCACAACATAGAAAAAATGGAGGCGTTGAGAACCAACGCCCTGCCGAAGACTGACGTATAAATGCTTGACCAGTTATCCATTTTACGTAACATTTTGGTCAGCAATTTCGGCGCCATGGCCTGATCTGGCCCTGAATCTGCGAGCTTGATTCCCAGAAAACGCAAAGGCGTTCTCGGATTTTGCCACTCAAACCCTCTTGGAGAAACTTCATGGGAAGGTTGTGGGCTATCTGCCAGCCACCAACCCATGGTTTTGTTCCAACTAACTTTCATTTATGAGGCCAGCTGAAATGCTTGCATTGCTCTTATAAGGCCCTGGAAGGAGGCCTCAGATGCCTTGATGATGGTTGTGAGATCATCCGCGAAGAGTAGTGTGGTCGGAAGAGTCACCTGGAGAGTTGGTTCAGCGATCAACCTATCAATGGACGGATCCTTTCGCAGAAAAGATGCTATTGCTTCCATCGTGAAGAGAAACAATGGAGCCGCGAGCGGGTCCCCTTGACGGACCGAGCGTGACATCTTGAAGGGACTGGATAGGAATCCATTGACCTGAACCTGACTCTGTGCGTCATTATACAACACTCTGACCCATTTACGGAAGTTTGGTCCCACCCCCATCCGTTCCATACATTGCCGCTGGAAGTTCCAATTAACTTGGTCGTATGCCTTTTCAAAATCGAAGAAAAGAATGGCTGCGTTGAGGCGTCTGTTCTTGATATAACGGGTTGTTTCTGTTAGAGTCATGACATTATCGAGGATGAACCTTCCAGGGATAAAACCCGTTTGGTCAATGTGAAAACAACTGCTCGTGATCCTGCTGAGGCGGTTAGCCAGCAATTTTGCTAATACTTTATATACAACAGTCAGTAGCGTAATCGGCCTGTAGTTCTTGATATCCGTTGGGTCTCCTTTTTTGTACAACAAGGTGACCACTCCTGTGCTTATGTATTTTCCCAGTCCTTCCTGTGACTCTGCTTTGCTGAGGAACGTCATATACTCTTGTTCAAACACCGGCCAAAAGGTTTGCCAGAATTCCTTAGGTGAAACATCTCTGCCTGGTGTCTTATTCGGTTGGAGCGAATAAAGTGCTGTTCTTACTTCTGCTTGAGTAATTGGTTTATCCAACTCTTCAGTCTGTTCTTTTGACAGAGTCTTGTCCAGGTGGTTCAAGAACTTGTTTCTGGCCTCTCTCACCGCCGCTTGAGGTAATTGGTTCTCTCTAGACGTGTAGAGGTACTGGATACACAGGTAATGAAACAACACATAGTGGAGACGTGCGAAGCCTTCGACACCCATACCACTTCCTTCTCACAACTGGTGGGAAGGCTATCTATGGCCACAGCCAAAGCGTCCCATATTCTGCCAGCCAGGACATCATCAAAGGAGAAGGAGCTAGAGGAAGTTCTTAGACTGTCAGAGAGAAACCTCGTCGCTCAACCAGGCTCGACAGATCTGGAGGAAGCGATGGAGGCGGCTAGACAAAAATTGGCTGAGTGGAAGGCATGGAAAGAAGCAGGCCTACGCCTACGGGCAAGAGTTAAAGAGTTGGAACAGAGCGATAAAATGACCAAATATTTTTTCCAGAAGATAAGAGCCAATACTCGAAACAAACTCATCGAACGATTGTACACAGGAGACACTGTCACTACAGATCCGGATCGGATGCTATCCATAGCAGCAAACTTCTACGAGGGCCTCTACACGTCTAGAGCATATGTGATGTTATTTCAGGGATTTCTCAAAATGTTTTGGTTAAGCCTGTCAGAGCTTTAATGTCGAGCCCTTGATGCCATCTGCATGTGATATTACTTCGTCATTTTTTTTTTCTTTCTGAAAAAAAGATTGGGTTAGATTTGTGTAAGCTTTAAAGCTTGCGACGTGACTTCAACTGAGCATAGGGGGTTCATGTAAAGGCCCTGTGAACAAGCAGCATGGTAGCACTGTAGCACAGCTTTATTGTTAAGCCAGCTCGTGCAGCTATTCGGACGAGGACACATCTTAGATTTTAATCTGTTAACTTGGGAGTGGTCTTGAAAAAGAAGGCAAGCTGTGGAGTAGTGTCTTCACCTCGGTGCACACATGATAGTTTGCATCACCCTTACTGTTTTTGCCTGAACAATGTTGGTCCTTGTTGGATGTGAATGGTTGCAACAGAGACAATCTGGAAGTCAAATCCCGAAGTGTATCTGCGACATCGAGGGGTGGGCAAGTGGATAAGGTTCTTCTTAGACAGGAGTGGAAAGGTGACAGGATGGTTCCCAGGCAGGAGTCGAAAGGTGACATGGCAGTCGATCAGCAAGCAACAGCTGACAAGGGAGTTGATCTGCAAGCAACCTTTGACAAGGTTCCCGACAAGCAGCAGAAGAGCATGTTAAAGAGGAAGCTGCAAGATCTGGCGAGGAAGGTAGAAGAGGTAAGTAGGAGAGGTTAACTTCGCCCTCACTCACCTTCTCGGCCCTGATTATCCGGTCGAAAGACCAGTATTTGTTGACTGTCTGATGCTAGAGCAACTGGGTGCCCCTTTTTCACTCGCTGTTAACTCAGGAGTCAGGAGATAGGCAATTACAACTTGGCAGTCTATACCCCTCCGCATAATGCTGCTATCCCATAGCTGTGACATCTTCCTTATGATCACTTGGTCTTTCAGTCAAAAGGACACAGTGTACGAATATCCCTGAGGAGTGGTCCATTAGTACCCCCTCCCTTTCAACTGTCAGAGCAATTGATCCATTAGTACCCTGTCCCTGCATGGGCTCCCCTTCGAAGGGCACAGTCGATAGGTGGTCCATTAGTACCCTTTTCCTCCATGGTGGGGCCCTGGATTCCCAGGGAGCAGCTATCGAAGGACCACATATGCTGGAATTTTGTCCTATGTCACCAAGAGTCTACGCCTGTTCGCCGAAAGCTCTGTCACGTATGCCTTGATTGGGGCCTCAATGTTGGATGTTGATGGATAAGTACAGCTTCAGAAATCAGCAAGCAATAGCCAGCACTAACTGAGTGCTGACTCACTGGACTCGAACAAAGTATGCAATCACAAAAACATCAGCATCCTTTGTGACATCCATTAAAATTGGAACGATACAGTGAAGATTAGCATGGCCCCTGCACAAGGATGACACACATAACTTGCGAAATGGTCCAAAAAAACTTTAAAAAAGGAAAAAAAGAAAAAGCATCAGCAGCTTCAGAGATCAGCAAATTGACAATGACCAACTCATCCTTTTTCCTTTTTCTCTTCCTTTTTTTTCACAAGCCAGCCTTGACCTACTAGGGGGCGCGATAGGAGTAGGCTCCCTTTGTAAGATTGTTGCCAACTGCTCCATCTATTGGTGGGGAGGAGCTGCAGCTGCTGGAAACCTGGTCCAGCATCTCATGAACATTCTTGTCTACGGGGCCATTACCCGGCTTCGGCGCATGGGCTGGAGTAATTGGAGGTAGATAGATATTGACTACCTTCTTCCCCCGAATACAACGTACGGCCATTATAACTGTATCTGGAATATATTTCAGTCTGAATACAGCTACTATGACCGTATGTTGTATTTGGGGGAAAAAGGTAGACTGAGCGATGCCACTCCTGCCGATGCCTCTCCATCCTGTTGGTGGGCGCCAGATCTGACATGGATTGCTAGCACCTTGCATTGGCTGGTGTCAGGAACCCCCCTCCAGTCTTAAAACCTAGATCCTGAAGGCAGACTTCCCTCTGCCTGTCTGGAGCTCTGTCTCTGTGGTATGGTGCAGGCATGAGAGGCCAGTACGTTCTGCACTAGCTTGTCTCCTCGTCAAGGCAGCACGCTTCTCTGTCTGTCTGTCTGTCTGTCTGTCTGTCTGTCTGTCTCTCTCTCTCTCTCTCTCTCTCTCTCTCTCTCTCTCTCTCTCTCTCTCTCT